ACTTGGATTATGGGAACTACTTTTGTAAAAAGACAGGATTGATAGCAATTTTAGTCCTGTCTCTAAAAAATACTTGCTTTAACTTGTATATGATTTGAATATGGGAGAAAAATATTTTCATTTAACACAGCCTTGAAAAAAACTTAATTGCCATATTCCTAATATCTTCCTGTTATTGATTCCCTTCACCCTCACCACTACCTCTCAAGAAAATAAGACATTCTGGTAACTTCTGCTTCCTAAACATGGGGTTTTCAGTTGAAGACAATCTGTTACTTCATCACTCTTTAGAGTGGTCCTTAACTAATTGAAGACTAATGTAGTTCATAGTTTCTGTCTTGGGATATTTCTGTACTGAAGTACCCAATAAAAGGGCAGAAAAGATTGGCCCAACCTTGATTCCATCATGATTGATATGGTTTGGCTGTGTCCCCACCCAAATCTCATCTTGAATTGTAGCTCCCATAATTCCCATGTATTGTGGGAGGGACCTGGTGAGAGATAATTGAATCATGGGGCAGTGTCCCCCATACTGTACCCATGATAGTAAATAACTCTCCTGAGATCTGATGGTTTAATAAGGGGTTTCCCCTTTTGCTTCACTCTCATTCTCTCTTGCCTGTCACCATGTAAGATGTGCCTTTTGCCTTTTGCCATGATTGTGAGCCTCCCTAGCCATGTGGAACTGAGTCCATTAAACCTCTTTTTCTTTATAAATTACCCAGTCTAGGGTATGTCTTTATCAGCAGCATGAAAACAGACTAATCAATAAATTGGTACCAGTAGAGTGGGGTACTGCTGTAAAGATACCCAAAATTGGGTAACAGGCAGAGGTTGAAACAGTTTGGAAGGCTCAGAAGACAGGGAAATGTGGGAAAATTTGGAACTTCCTAGGGACTTGTTGAATGGCTTTGACCAAAATGCTGATAATGATATGGACAATGAAATCTAGGCTGAGGTCATCTCAGATGGAGATGAGGAACTTGTTGATAAATGGAGCAAAAGTGACTCTTGCTATGTTTTAGCAGAGACTGGTGGCCTTTTGCCCCTGCCCTAGGGATTTGTAGAACTTTGAACTTGAGAGAGATGATTTAGGGTATATGGTGGAAGAAATTTCTAAGCACCAAAGCATTCGAGAGGTGATTTGGGAGCTGTTAAAGCATTATGTTTTAAAAGGGAAATAGCATAAAGGTTCAGAAAATGTGCAGCCTGACTATGCAATAGAAAAGAAAAACCAATTTTTTTAGGAGAAATTCAAGCTGGCTGCAGAAATTTGCATAAGTAACAAGGAGCCAAATGTTAATCCCCAAGACAATGAGGCTAATATCTCCAGGGCATTTCAGAGACCTTTTCAGCAGCCCCTTCCATCATAGACCTGGAGGCATAAGAGGAAAAAATGGTTTCATGGGCCAGGCCCAGGGCCTCTTTGCTGTGTACAGCCTAGGGACTTGGCGAAGTCATGGCTAAAAAGGGCCAAGGTACTGCTTCAGCTTTGGCTTCAGAGAGTGCAAGCCCCAAGCCTTGGCAGCTTTCACAGGGTGTTGAGACTGTAAGTACACAGAATTCAAGAATTGGGGTTTGGGAACCTCTGCAAGATTTTAGAGGATGTATTGAAATGCCTGGATGTCCAGGCAGAAGTTTGCTGTAGGGGCAGGGCCCTCATGGAGAGCATCTGCCAGGAGAGTGTGGAAGGGAAATGTGAGGTCAGAGTCCCCACACAGAGTCCCCACTAATGCACTGCCTAGTGGAGCTGTAAGAAGAGGGCCAATGTCCTTCAAACCCCAGAATGGTAGATCCACTGACAGCTTGCACCATGCACCTGGAAAACCCACAGACACTCATTGCAAGCCCATGAAAGCAGCCAGAAGGGAGGCTGTACCCTGCAAAGCCACAGGGGTGGAGCTGCCAAAAACCATGGGAACCCATCCTTGCATCAGCATGACCTGGATGTGAGACATGGAGTAAAAAGAGATCATTCTGGAGCTTTAAGATTTGACTGCCCTGCTGGATTTCAGACTTGCATGGGGCCTTTAGCCCCTTAATTTTGGCCAAATTATCCCAGGTAGAATGGGTATATTTATCCAATGCCTGTACCCCCATTGTATCAAGGAAGTAATTAACTTGCCTTTGATTTTATATGCTCACAGGCGGAAGGGACTTGCCTTGTCTCAGATGAGACTTTGCACTGTGGACTTTTTAGTTAATTCTGAAATGAGTTAAGACTTTGGGTACCTGTTGGGAAAGCATAAATGGTTTTGAAATATGCAGATATGAGATTTGGCAGGGGCCAGGGGTGGAATTATATGGTTTGGCTCTGTCCTTACCCACATCTCATCTTGAATTACAGCTCCCATTATTCCCACATTGTGGGAATTTTACAGTTTTGGGTTTTACATTCAAGTTTTTAATCCATCTTGAGTTGATTTTTTATATATATATAGTGTAAGGTAGGGGTCTGGTTTCAGTCTTCTGCATATGGCTAGCCAGTTATCCCAGCATCTCTTATTGAATAGGGAATCATTTCCCCATTGCTTCTTTTTGTCAGATTTGTAAACGATCAGATGGTTGTAGGTGTTCAGCCATATTTCTGGGCTCTTTATTTGGTTCCATTGGTCTATGTGTCAGTTTTTGTATAGTACCATGCTGTTTTGGTTACTGTAGCCCTGTAATATAGTTTGACATCAAGTAGTGTGATGTCTTCAGCTTTGTTCCTTTTGCTTAGGATTCCCTTTGCTATTTGGGCTTTTTTGGTTTATATATGAATTTTATAATCATTTTCTGGTTCTGTGAAGAATGTCATTGGTAGTTTGGTAGAAATAGCATTGAATCTGTAAATCTGTTTGAACAGTATGGCCATTTTAATGATACTCATTCTTCTGACCCATGAGCATGGAATATTTTTCCATTTGTTTATGTCACTTCTGATTTCTCTGAGAAGTGTTTGTAATTCTCATTGTAGAGATCTTTCATCTCCCTGGTTAGCAATATTCCTGGTATTTTATTCTTTTTGTGGTGATTGTGAATGGGATTGTGTTCCGGATTTGGCTCTCAGCTAGGCTGTTGTTGGTATATAGGAATGCTAGTGGCTTTTGTACATTGATTTTGTATCCTGAAACTTCCTGAAGTTTTTTATCAGCTGAAGGAGCTTTTGGGCCAAGACTATGGGGTTTTCTAGAATCATGTTGGTTTTGGGGGAAAAAAATAAGTAAGATAGATAGGCTGCTAGCTAGACTAATAAAAAAGGAAAAGACAGAAGAGCCAAAGAATCACAATGAGAAATGACAAAGAGGATGTTACCACTAACCCCACAGAAATACAATGATCAGAGACTACTATGAACATCTCTATGCACACAAACTAGAAAACCTAGAAGAGAAGGATAAATTCCTGGGTAGATATACCCTCCAAAGACTGAACCAGGAAGAAATAGAATCCCTGAACTATTCAATAATGAGCTCTGAAATTCAATCAGTAATAAATAGCTTACCATCCAAATAAATGTCCTGTGACTTATTTGGACAGTAAGCTATTTATTACTTAATGATAACAGGCATAATCTGACTTCCGCTCTTGCTATTCTGATGCTCTTTCTAATGCCTGATTGCTCTGGTCTGGACTTCCAATACTATGTTGAATAGGAGTGGTGAGAGAGGGCATCCTTGCCTTGTGCCAGTATTTAAGGGGAATGCTTCTAGCTTTTGTCCACACAATGATGGGCATGTCATAGATCTTTTTGGATATGTTCCCTCAACACCTAGTTTACTGAGAGTTTTTAACATGGAGGGATGTTGAATTTTATCAAAAACCTTTTATGCATCTATTGAGATAGTCATGTGGTTTTGTCTTCAGCTCTGTTTATGTGATTAATCACATTGATTGATGTGCATATGTTGACCCAACTTTGCATCCCAAGAATAAAGCCTACTTGATCATGGTGGATTAGCTTTTTGATGTGCTGTGGATTTGGTCTGCAAGCACTTTGTTGAGGATTTTTGCATCAATGTTCATCAAGGATATCAGCCTAAAGTTTTCTTTTTTTGTTGTGGTTCTGCCAGGTTTTCGTATCAGGATGATGTGGCCTCATAAAATGAGTTGGGGAGGAGTCCCTCCTCCTCAGCTTTTGGAAATAGTTTTAGTAGGAATGGTACTGGCTCTTTGTACACTTGGGAGAATTCAGCTGTGAATCTGTCTTCTCCTGTGATTTATTCGGATGATAAGCTATTTATTACTGATTGAATTTCAGAACTCATTATTGAATAGTTCAGGGATTCTATTTCTTCCTGTTCAGTCTTTGGAGGGTATATCTATCCAGGAATTTATCCTTCTCTTCTAGGTTTTCTAGTTTGCATAGAGATGTTCATAGTAGTCTCTCATCGTTGTATTTCTGTGGGATCAGTGGTAACATCCTCTTTGTCATTTCTCATTGTGATTCTTTGGCTCTTCTGTCTTTTCTTCTTTATTAGTCTAGCTAGCAGCCTATCTATCTTACTGATTTTTTTTTTCAAAAAAACAATTCCTGGATTAATTGATCCTTTAAATTTTTTTCATGTCTCAGTCTCCTCCAGTTCAGCCATGATTTGGGTTGTTTCATGTCCTCTGCTAGCTCTGAAGTTGGTTTGTTCCTGCTTCTCTAGTTAGTTTAGTTGTGATGTTATGTTGTTAATTTGAGATCTTCCTAACTTTTTTTTTGCAGGACAGAGTCTTTACTTTTAAATGATTATTTATACACCAAGTAATAACATGTAAGAAGTTCTTGAATTCTATCATCTAGTGATTTTGGTTAAGAGAAACTAAAATCAGCCCAATTACACTAGTATTCGCTATTCTAACCATTAGTAAGAATGGACTACTTTAAGGCTGGCTGCTGCTTCACACAGGTTACAAGTAACTATTTACTACTTTTTCATAGATAAAGCCCCTGACTTTCAAGAAAGTATTAGGGGAAAAAATTATTTAATCCCTTCCTTTCTTCAAAGAATTGTTATGTGGTGTGTTTTTTAAAACCAGATCTAAGAAAGAAAAAGTCAACACTGATGTACATGTTGCTTGAGCTGAAAGGCATAGGAAAAAAGACAACATGTGCCCATTAAATTCCTAAGAAATATGAGGTTAAAAGATGAAATTTTTTAGGTAATCTAAGTCTGTACAAAAAAGCTAGAGTTGCTATTCTCCAAAAAGTGGAAGGACCTACTACATAATACACGGAAATAATTTAATGCCATTTCATAAGAAGATAACTAGAGCTGTACTAAAGCTTCATATTCCATGAGGGCATCTAAAATGCCAATCCACAGAACAGGTGCTTCTCTCTTCTTTATCCATTTATGCGGTAGTTTTCATGGATTTCTGGCTGAATGTCACAGACAAAAGCCAAGAGGTTATCCAAGACTTCATCCCTGTTCTGCCGAAAGTAGGTCTGGAGGATGGTCTTCTTCTCCTGGGTCTCCTTCTCCACTTCGGTGCTGCAACTGCCATGGGATCCCAGTGCCGCAGCTTCCTTGGCCTTGAACTCTTTCTCCCTCTGCAGGTGGTACTGTTCAATTTCAGCCTGAGCTGCTGCTTTGGCCTGCTTCAGCCTCCGGTTCTTTCTTTTGCAGGCCTCAGACACCTTCTCTGCGGCCCGCTTCTCGGCCTGCAGCAGCTGCTGAATCCCCTGCAACTGACTGGCCATGGCGGCAGCGATTCTGAGCAAGATCTTCCTAACTTTTTGATATGGGCATTTAGTGATAAAAATTTCCCTCAACACTGTCATAGCTGTGTCCCAGAGATTCTGGTGTGTTATATCTTTGTTCTCATTAATTTTAAAAGAGCTTCTTGATTTCTGACTTAACTTCATTATTTACCCACAAGTCATTCAGGAGCATATTGTTTAGTTTCCATGTAATTGCATGGTTTTGAGCAAATTTTTAAGTCTTGATTTTTATTTTGATTGTGCTGTGGTCTGAGTGTGTTGGTTATGACTTCAGCTCTTTTGCATTTTCTGAGGATTGTTATAGGTCTGATTGTGTAGTCAATTTTAGAGTATGTACCATGTGGCAATGAGAAGAATGTATATTCTGTTGTTTTGGGGTGAAGAGTTATGTAGAGGTCTATCAGATCTGTTTGGTCCAATGTTGAATTCAAGTCCTGAATATCTTTGTTAATTTTCTGCCTTAGTGATCTAATACTGTCAGGGAAGTGTTGAAGTCTCCCACTATTATTATGTGGAATCTAAGTCTCTTTATAAGGCCTCTAGGAACTTGCCTTATGAATCTGGGGCTCTGTGTGTACCTGAGAGGCTGCTCTGCCAAGACTCCCTGTATTAATAACTGTGTCAGACTGAAGGAAATGGTGAAGTGGATTCATGAGGGGACCTCCTGACCTGGGAGCTGCAAAGATCTGTGGGAGAAGCGTGGGTCCCCATTGTCACTCACTCATTCACCCCTTCCTTGGGCAGGGGAGGCTCTCCTGGCTCCGTGTCACTCCTGGGTGAGCAGTTGTCCTGCCTTGCTTTTCTCTGTTCTCCATGGGTCAAGTTATTTTCTTTATGAATCCCAATGTGTGTACCTGGATGTTTCAATTGAGAGCTGTATTTACTCACCCCTTCAGTTTCTCTCCATGAGAACAGCACATGCTAGCTCCTAGCCGGCCTCCCAAACACTTTCTTAACAATGTCCTTAAAACCCTTTTTGCCTCCGTATCCTTTGACTAAACCCATGCTGAACAACTGTAATTCTAGATGAAACTCATCCCTGCCCCTATTTTACATTACAGAGCCCTGCTGGAGAAAAATTGCATTACCAAATAGCACATACATTCTTGTTTGCCCAATTTACATATACATATACTTGATCACCTACATATACATATACTTGCATATCAATTACTAGTATACATATATTTGATCTTCCATTCCCCAAAGTAACTATGCTAAATCTTTTCCTCTCTCTCTCCTACCTAACGTATCCCGTTTACCCTCAGTAGATAACCTCATTTCTTACTTCACACACATACAAAACAAAAACAAAAACCAGAGAGCCATCAGTAAGTTAACTCATCTCAAACATCCTTCCTTCTTGTTTCAAAGAAATAAATATCCCTCTGTTTAAGGTTAATTCATTCATCAGTGCTCTAGATCCCCGTCCCTGTTTCCTTAGTGACATAACTCTAACTACTGCCCTCTTTCTCACCTTCCTCAAAATGTAGCCAACATTCATTACCTTCACTTCCTGACTTGTATACTTCTCAACCCACTGCTTGAGAAGATGTCTACTGTTGCCATACCATGAAATGGTTATTTACAAAACCATACTGACTTCTTTACTGTTGATTATTCCCAGGGCCTTTAAACTCTCTCCCTTGATTCACTGAGCTATTATGGAATATTCATGTTGTGAGCTATTCCACAATAGCTCAATGACTATCTGAGTGTCATATCTGTGACACTAGACTGTTTTACTTCTGTTTCTCTACCCGTTCATGAAACATATGATGAAATATGTGAAGGGGAGACCATGCAGGACATCACCTCTGCCTAAATTTTAAGTGGGCTATTTTCCAGTCGTCCATCCTTTGGTCTTTCTCACCACATACTTTATTTTTGAGCACTCTCATCTCTACCTGTAGCTTCAACCAGCAACTGACAACCAACGTATTTTTTTAATCTTCAGTCTAAGCCTCTCCTGAATTTTATATTCCTCTGCCTACTGGGTATCTCCATCTGTTTTTCCCCACAGGCACTTCAATTCAACTTATCCACTGCTGATCTCTTTCTCCTCATCCCATGTCTCAGTCAGTATACTGCCATCATCCAGTTATTAAGTAATAAACCCAATACTTATCCTAATGTTGTATACTTCTGTTTTTTTGTATCTAATAACATGAAGGTATATCCATTTACCTCTAAAGATTCTCTTGAATCTGCTCTCTTCATCTTAATGCTACTGCTAATTCAGACCATCATTTTGCCTCCTTTGAATAGCTGCATTAGTCTCCTAATTTGTCTCCCTGCCTCGTGTTTCACTTTTCTTCAATCTTCTGTTTTCCTGGGTGCCAGTGTGATCTTTCAAAAATGCAAATCGATTATCTTGCATAAAATCTTCAATGGCCCCCTAATTGTTTCATTTGAAACACATTTATTTAGCCACTGTCAGATGAATTATTCCCATCTCAGAGGATCTCTCACAAAAGTGTTACTGCAAACAAAGTCTCTAGGTTTGAACCACGTCTGCATACCTACCTGATATCCCAATTATTCTACATCACTCTTGTGATTTCCTAAATGTGCCATGTTAGTTCCACAACCTAGATCACTCTCCTTTTTTTAACTTGGCTGACTTGTGTTTATTCATTTACCCAATACCCTTTCCCCCCATCTATAAGTATTGCTATATGTATGTAGTAAGTGTCCTGGTTTATCTCTATAGAAGTATATTCTAATAGATACTTCACTTTTTGCTCTCTAGTCCTGATTCTTAACATATTGAAGGCAGGGACTGTGTTTTTCACGCATATTTACCAAACAAAAATAGTGCTAGATATAAGCATTCAGTGAATGTATATTTATTTATTTTTACTTTTTTGAGATGGAGACTTGCTCTGTCACCCAGGCTGGAGTGCAGTGATGCGATCTTGGCTCACTGTAATCTCCGCCTCCTGGGTTCAAACAATTCCTCTGCCTCAGCCTCCTGAATAGCTCGGATTACAGGCACCTGCCACCACCCACAGCTAATTTTTGTATTTCTAATAGAGACAAAGTTTCACCCTGTTGGCCAGGCTAGTCTCGAACTCGTGACCTCAAGTGATCCATCCACCTCAGCCTCCCAAAGAGCTAGGATTAAAGGCATGAGCTACCATACCAGGCCTACATTCAATGAATGTTTATTGAATGGCCCTTTAAGAATGGCCTATCAAGAAACTGTAAATAAGTTCATTTCATTTGCCAGTATTCCCAGATATTGCAATCATATATTATGTTTCAGATCTAACTTAATATAATGCATGCTTTATTTATCTGTTTATTTTTCTTTTAAGAATAGACAATTCCTTTATTTACAAAAAACTTATTGTAGAAATTTTCAAATATAAACAAAAGTAGAAAGAAGAATGAGTCCACTGATACCCATCATTCATCCTCATCAGCATCCTCCTACTCGTTTCATCTGTTTTCTTACAACTTTTCCCTATTTTAAAATAAATTCTGTAAATTATATTATTTTGCCTATAAACAGTTTAGTGTATATCACTAACTAGATAAACACTTATTAATAAAGCACAGTGTATTTCTTGCTTTTATTCTAAAAGTATTCTACTTTCTCTTATGCTATCTATAGACCAATTTAGGCATGATAATTATGAATTATAAGACTTTTTTAAAATATCTGACTACTAGTCTTCCTTCAGGCTTCACTCAGGGTTCCCCATCACTTCCCAAGAATGTTGTCTCTAAATTGTGATAAAATACACTTAAAAATGTACCATCTTAACTATTTCTAAGTGTGCAGTCAGTAGTGTTAAATACATTGTTGTACAATCTCCAGAACTCCTTTTCCTCCTTTAAAAGTTAAACTTTATGCCTATTAAACAGCACCTTCCCATTTTCCCCTCCCCCAAGCACCTGGAAACTATCCTTCTACTTTTGTATCTACTCTAGTCAATGGAATATTCTAGTCAAATTAGGAACTGCAGTCAAATATTTGGATGACAAATAGGGCATTTGTCTTTTTGTGTCTGGTTTATTTTGTATAATGCTCTCAAGATTTATCAATACTGTAGCATTTGTCAGTATTTTCTTCCTTTTTAAGGCTAAATAACATTTCATTGTATGAATATACCTCATTTTATTAATCCATTCATCAATGAACACTTGTGTTGCTTACAACTTTTGGCTATTATGAATAATGCTGCTATAAATATGAATGTATATATGTCTCTTTGGGACCCTGCTCTCAATTCTTTTGGGGATATAAACAGAAGTGGAATTGCTGGGTCATATGGTAATCCTATTTTTAATTTTTCTAACATGCTCTTCCCAGTCTTCCCATCCCTATACTGCCATTTCCTCAAACTAGCAGCTTTGGAGCCACCATTGGTTCCTCTCTTATTCTCTCATCTCATATCCAATTCCTTAGCAAATCCACGTATGTGCCCAGAATACCCCCACCCCACTTCTTACCCTTCTAGCCATTTCCACCACCCTGGTCCAAGCTATCACCCTCTCTCCTGGACTGTTTCTGTGGCCTTCCAAGAGATCTCCCTGCTTGTTCACTCTTGCCTCTCTTCAACCTGTTCTCAACTTGGCAACCAGCACAATTTTTTCCAAACAAATCTCAGACTGACATTCCTCTGCTCAATGCCTTCCAGTGATTCTCCATATCACATTCAGTAAAAATCAAAGTCCTTCCACAGGCCTATGAGGCCCTACATGACCTGAACCCAAGTTACCTACTTGAACTCATCTCTTATACCTTTCCCTTTAGTTCATTCTACTCCAGCCACTGATACATTCTTGGTGTTCTTGAACATACTACTATTCTCCCACCTCAGTAAGGGCCTTTGCTTCAAATTCTCTTTCCCCTGAAACCTGCTTGATTCACTTCCTAACTTCCATGAGATGTCAGCTTCTTAAGGAGGCTTTCTCTTAAAATCTTTTTAAAAATAGAAATCAACCCCTCAAGAATTCTCCACTCCCCTCTGCAGCTTCACTTTATCCTGTAAACTTTATCATTATCTAA